TCACCAAGCCCTACTCACAGCAAATCTTACATCCCAATCACCAAGCTGCTGGCATTCTACCAGCCCCTCAGCAAAGCCAGCAACAGGAAATCACTACCTCTTAAGACATTCCATTTTCTGGCAGCTGAAATTGAAAGTTCTTCCTCAAGCGGGGTCAAAATCTGTCACTGTTTTGAAAAAAAAAAAAAAAAAAATAGCAGAGCCAAAGACAAGGCTCTTTTCATCTCATTAGAGAATTTTCTCTTGACTGACATTCAATCTGCATAAATCTATATGTGAACATCACCAGTGTAGCTAGGTGGGCCATGTTGCTTTGTGGCTAACACCACAGTATAGGAGCCAGGCACAGCAGCTGCCTGTCTTTGAGGACTAGGCAGCTTCCTTAATTCTTCCTAGTTCTCTCACATGTCAAATGAAGACAAATTAGTACCTTGCCTGACACGGCTGTGACCTCTAAGGTACATCAGCCAAGGATGTAAGCTCAGGTGTCAGAGGCATGCCTGGAACCAGGTTAGCAACAAGGAAGTTCTGCGGCTTTATGTTACATGGACATCAAAGACAGAACCCAGAGGCCTGACCTCGGTCATTCTTTCCCTTTGGTGTTCCCATTCTTTGGCACAGGTTTTCTGGAATCAAAGGACAGGGACTACCACCAAATGCTTTCCTTAGTATGAACCTACACAGATTTGGAAGCAGTGATGTGCTGTGCTGACCACATTATGTCTGAGTAGACTTGTGTTACAACAATTTGTCAAAAGGAGATCACCTGGAGAGACAAGTAACTGACAATCTCTGCATGGTGCTCACCAAATGGTACTGACAATAGTCTCATCCTGTGGTTTCCAGTTTATATTCTGAACTATGTCTGTACATTAAAAGTGTGTGGGGGGGGGGTGTGGAAAACAAAGTAGAGTTCCTAACTTTGTGTTTTGTCAACTTCAACTTAGTTTTTTTGTTTTTGTTTTTTTAATCTAGCAAAAGAATATATCCCAAATCAAGAAAGTTAGGAGGTAACTATTATGATAAAGCTCATGATGAACCTTGGTGTATTCCAAGACAGGTGAAGGTAACCGAGGTGAGGGACAAACATGCCAGGCAGACAGAGCTTAAGTGAGAAGTTTTATTAGAAATGGGAGGGAAGGAGAAAGGAAAGAGAAATGTGGTAAAGAGACACAAAGACAGAAGACAGAAGAGAAGAGGGAGACAGGAAGACCTTTCTGGCCCAGGGGAACAGAAGGAAAGAGAGAGGGAAAAAGAGCTTGGACAATAGTTTCTTTTGTTTGTTTTGTTTTGTTTGTTTTTCAAGACAAGGTTTCTCTTGTAACAGCTGTAGCTGTCCTGGACCTCACTTCTGTAGACCTGGCTGGCCTTGAACTCACAGAAATCTGCCAGCCTCTGATTCCCAAGTGCTGGGATTACATGCATTCGACACCACTACCTGGTGACAATATTGTTTCAATCAGTTAAATGAATAAATTGTCTCAAAATTGACTGTTATGAGGTCACAATCTTTCACAGGCAGCAAGGGACCCCCCTCTGGGCCTATTGTGATGCAGATTCAATCCCTATATTTCAGGAACCTCTTCCCTTCTACACAAAACTTGGTACCCTGGAGGTCTTCATATGCTTACATACATAAATACACACACAGTTATATACTTTAATATGTAATACTCTCTATCTCCTAAAAGGAGAAATGACTGACAGCTATACAATATAATGCTAAGAAAACAAGATTCATATAATGAGCTAATGACAAAGAGAATGGTAACTAAGCTAACACAGTACTTTACTCCAATTATAGGCTCAGATGCAATTCTCTTGAGATGTCCAGCATGAAATAGCAGTGTTTCTCTTGCTCCTAAATCCAGAAGCTAAGGTAATAGACCAACTAAGCAGGGTGGTGTCCTTGTGTTCAATCATTCACTCAGTCATAGCTCAGTGTCACATTTCAGGTATCATGTAAGATACCAGGATCACAAAGCTAAATTTAATACAACCCCCATCTCAAAGAGCTTCATGAACCAGGAAAGTTGAAAATTACTAACATAAACCAGAATCTGAATTAAATTACTAGTCATTTTCTTCAATTTTCCTTACTTAATAAATGATGGGGTCATTTTAACCTTAGCATTAAGGCCTAACAGAACACATAATAAAGGCACACACACACACACACACAAAAAAAAAAAAAAAAAAAAAAAAACAATTGATTTTGTGTTCTAATTTTCATCTGCTTATTGAATTAAAAGTTCAAACTTCGGGCAACTGAAGTAGGATATCCTTGGACCTAAGGCAGTAAGCCAAAACATAACGTGTAATACTATATCATTGAACAATCACTTCTTGTTCTGTGTGCCTGGGTAAAGAAAGCCACAGGTGACTTGGACCCCTGACTACAATGAAGACCAGAACTGTATGAGCCAAACCCTCAGTAAGAGTGCTGCCCTAGCTTAGGTCTTTATAGTGGTTTGTTCATTGTCCTTTTTGTAGTGGTAAGGAACAAACCCAGTGCCTTGCACATATTAAGCATGCTAAGCACACAGTCTACCATGAGCTACAACCCTCACTACTCTAGGTGGTTAGATAACAATACTTTCTGCTTGCTTTCCAGTGTACATGTGTAGAGTACCATACTGTGGGCAGAAGACAGACATCACAGATTTGACATCAGAGTTAAGACAGAAAGGTGATCACAATGGGATGCTCAGCCAGAGCACAACCTTGAAGAGCATGGAAAAGTGGGAACAAGAGAGTAAGAACAGGAGAGGCTTGTTGGGGAACATTATTTTAAGGTGTGTGACTTTTGTTTATGCTGCATTTGTTTAACTCTCTGAAGCTGTGTTACTGTGCCTGTCTAAAACACCTAATAAAGAGCTGGAGGGCTGATAGCCAGGCAGAAGCAAGAACAAGTGGAGTTGGCAGGCAGAGAATATAAATAGGAGAAATCTGGAAGTGGGAAGACTTAAGGGGCCAGCTACCTCGCTACACAGTCAGACTAGGAGTAAGAAAGAAAGGCATACAGGAATAGAGAAAGATAAAAGCCCTAAAGGACAAAGATTGATGGGATAATTTAAGTTAAGAAAAGTTGGCAAGAAACACACCAAATTAAGACTAGGCATCCATAACTAAGAATAAGCCTCCGTGTATTTATTTGGAAACTAGGCGTTCCCCTCCCCCCAAAAAAAAAAAAAAAACCAAAGAGTAAAACATTGCACAACAGAGGTTAGAGGTTAGGCAAGGGACAAGACTCTGTAATTCAGGATCAGCTCAGGGTTCTGTAAGGATAAGTGAGGAGCAAAGAGAAAATGGACATCAGAGTTACCAGGTATGCAAGTATGGAGTTTAGGAATGACATGAGCTTTCATGAAAGAAAAACTAATATAGGTCAGCAAGTTTCTTAACAGGCAATTAAACAGCAGACAGTGTTGTTTCTAGGAAAAGTATACTACTCACAGTCAGGAACTGAAGTTAAAATCTTCTGAAGAATTTTTTTATCAGTAATTTTAAAGACTAATTCTTCACTAAGAAAATTCTTTAACCATATTCATACTCACTGACACTTTTCCTAAGCATATCTTACATTCAAAAGTTAATTTTAAAAGACAAGAAATGAGCATTTACAGCTAAGACAACATTGTTTTTAGTGTCAAAGCAGAGTTGTTGAGGAGGGGATCAGTTGTCTAAGAATCAGGCAGTTGAAAGTAAAGGCAAAGTTCAACAGCTCACAGGCACCTGGTCAGCAGGCATACTGTCTCCCTTGCTGTTTTTAAAATGCCTACAGTAGCGAACACCAACAGAAAACATGCACAGGGAGCAAGGGTTACTCAGTACAGAAAGGGTTCAACAGTAAACACTGAGCAAAAAGACACTAGTACAATCCAGAAAAATGTAAGTCTAATAATAAAGTCTAAAAAAACAATAAATGTTGACATCTACTTACACAGAGCCAAAGGTTGGTGCCTTAATTGTTTATCCCTACTGACTACATTTTTTTAAGTTTCCACATTTGTTAAATTACTATCTACAAAGTTTTACTTATCTTATTGAAGTAATGATTCTAGGATTTCTTTTCTGACATAACAAACTGGTATTTGGTCATAGTTTAAGATAAGCCTTCCAACAACATGTCTGGTTATTTGCCCAAGAATCTTATTAAACAACTGATTTTCTTTAGTTACTGCATAATTGGTACATAAGTGAAGAAATTAATCAAATAATAGTTTTTCCACAGTAAAATTGTTCCCTATGAATCCCTACTTCTATTTCTAAGGTTCTTCATCTAGGGTAAATTTGTTCTCAAGTCTTTCTCAAGCATGACCCTAAGAGGCGCTCGTGTGCACACCCGTAGATAGGGCAATGCCTGAAGACACTCTGGTTGTGTTCAGAACATGACAGCTAGTTAGCAAGAGATGGGGTGCCATAGGCAATTAACAGATATAGGCCAAAGATGTAGGGATGGCTGTCAGCTCAGGACAGCTCCTCACACAACAAAGAATTGCCCAGACAGATAGGTCAATAGTGCCTCTACTGGGAAACAAATTCTAAACTGAAAACAGAAAAAAACAAATTTGCACACAGCTGGCAACCTCAAAAAAACAAAACAAAACAAAAAACTGCAGAGCAATTCAATGTCTGCTAAGCTTAGAGACACAGACATGCTTTTCATATACTCATAGCACATAAAAATGATGATTGTCAGTCATGAATTCATGAGGTGCTAACACATATGTACAGCAAAAAGTGCTTCCACTACCCAAGCAACTGGATACTTCTTTACATGAACATTTCGGATGGCAGAATAGAAAACGAGGTAGTTATGCTCTTGGAAGTCACTTTCTGAGTCAAACATCAATTATGTCTAGCCTATTTATTTTCTTCTTACTTGTAAATGTTTTCTAACTGGAGACTGTTTAAAAATAATAGAAAGGAAAAGTTCACCCCACAACACTGTTCCGTAAAACTTCAGTCCAAAAACACATTAGAATTCTGAAATTTACCTGGCAAAAGGACTGGCTCCAGTTTTTTAATCTTCGGTTCGGAACTGCTCTTATCGTCAATCTGAAACACATGGACAAAATAAAGCATAATACAAATGCCACCCCCTCATAAGACACTAAGGCAAATCATCTAAGCGATGACACATGCGACAGGCATATCTCCTACTTAAAACTCTTTCCCGTCCCAATCGAGATTGTTTTAAGATCTACTCATTATCGACTTGAGAGCCTGACCATAAACACCTTTACAACAGCCCAAGCCGCTTTCTAAGTGCTCACAAGTACTAGACAGGTAAGTTCTACCGGTGTCGCGGCGCTGCAGCCATCTGGTAGCCACAGCTGGGTCGGTGGCCGACCCTGAAGAAAAGAAACTCAGCTCGGGACGGTCCCTAAGGTCTCGTCACACGGCAGGGCTAGGGACCGCAGGACTTCGGCCAGAGAATGGCCGCCGCGGAGCTCTACAAGTTTCCACCGCGCCCGTGGCTCCCGGGAGGCGCGCTAGTCCGCGTCGCTCGCGTCCAGGTCCCGAGCGGGCGGCCCGCGGAGGCGCGAGCACCGAGCGCTTACCTGGGGCGGCGGCAGGAGGTAGGACCTGAAGCTCGGTCTGGGCGGCTTGAGGGAGAACATGGTGCCGCCGCCTGTGCACCCCGGCCCTGTGGCCGGCCAGACGCCTCCGGGATCAGCGTCCCCGGTGCGAAAGCGCAGTCAGGGTCTGCGGCCCGCCCCGCCGGGCAGACTGACGGGCAGGGATCAACGCCGCCAGGGGCCCGCCCGCGGTGGGCGGGGCCAATCATAGACACGCCCATCCCCGGAAGCCGCTTGCGGAGCTGAAACCAAAGCTCCCAGCCTCTAGGCCTCACTCACTGTGGCGGAAAGCATCGCTGGAGCCGGGAGCCGCTGGGCCCCTAGAGGCCATCTTGAGAGAATGCTCTTACGGAGGCCCACAGGGGTCATGGCGGCCTTCTCGCGCCTACTGCGCCTCACTTGGCTCAGGAGGCCACGCAAAGCAGCTGTGGGTTGTGGTGGACGCTGTGCAGTGTCGCTGCTGTCCAGTTCTCAGGATTCTCTCATCTGCGATAGTTGCTGCCCGTTAGTCATCCCTGCTGAGCTGCTAGCATTGGTTTTAAAGCAAGAGAGGTGCAGATTGGGGAAGAGAACCCGGGGCAACCCGAGGCCTCACAGTTCCAGTTGTCTGCATGTTGGAGGACCCAAAGATCTAGGCATCATCGCAGACCTGGTTGCCAAAGTAGATATCAAAGAAACAAGGAAAGATTTTTCTTTTACCTCTTGCTACCAGTTGACCTAACCTTGAGGTGCAGATGTGACCCATGCTGGGTGACCAGGACAGATGATACTGGCTGGCAAAGCCGAATCCCCAATTTAGTTTACTGATTTTATTCTTCTCGTTAAACTTTAAGTGAACAAAAACAAGCAAGCAAACAAACAAACAAACCAATAACAACAACAAAAAACGATAAGCTAGTTGTCCCTGGACCCTTCTTTCCCATCCTCATGTATAAAGCAGTTGACCTGGTTGGTAAGTCATCAGAAGCCCAGGGAGAGAAGACACCAGCGCACTGGGGACTACACAAAGTTGTGGAAATAAGAATCTGCCCCAAAGTTGCAAAGAGCAGCACAACTTCCAAGTTTGGGGCATTTCTAGACTTAACTTCTGAAGTGAAGTAGCCTTTGGTGGGAGGGAGTCAGTGTTATTCCATGCCCTTATACATTGAAAAAGAAAGGCCCGACCCATCATTTTTGTCATGAATATCACAGGTAAGCTGATGTGGCCCTAGAAATCACAATCAGCATGTTGACAAGTGTGCCAATGTTGCTAATTTTGTATATGTGTGTGAGTGTTCGAGAAGCAAGATTTAGAGAGTTGATCTCCAGCTTTTCTAGCTAATCAGTTAGTAACCATGATTGTACTTCAACGAGGAAATCGGAATGAATTACTCCTAATGAAAAACCACTGGTGCATATTCACTTTTTATGATTCCGATGTTACTTCTACACATTAAATGGACTTAACCCCTTACTAGACTTCAGACACTTGTGCCCCTTTTGGGACTTTTGTTGTTCAAGTTTTCTTGGGATCTGCAACTTTAATATGCATGTCAGCAAAAATTTTACAAATTGGAAAACACCAGATTGGTTTTGCTTAATAGTAATTTTTTCTGGATTTTTTTTTTCAAGTAACATATTGTGGAACTCACATAGACTCTTGGGCTACTATTTCAAAATACTAAATGATCTGGCTTGTTGCTTCTGAGCCCTCTCTTGTTATATTAGGCTGCTCCATTCACCCTGGTCTAGAGATAACAAACATGTATTATATATCACAATTATGGAGTCAAGGGAGCACAAAATCAAGGCTCTGTCAAAATGATTTTGAGTTTCCTTCCCCTTTTCTCTTTCTTGCTGTACTAGCGATAGGACTAGACTGAGAGCTTCCCACATATTTAGCAAGTGCCCTACCACTGAACTCCAACCAACTTCTTTATTTTGAGATAGGGTTTTACCTAGTTTCTAAACTTGAACTTGAGATCTTCCCGCCTTAGTCTCTAAGAAGTAGATAGGATTACAGGCCCATGCTACCAGGCCAATAGGGCTCTCAGCATCTTTAGCCAATAGCTTGATATGTTCTCACATGGTGGGTCTGCCTTCTTAGAACACTGAGACTGATTAACACCCTGACCTTTTGTCTTAAAGGCCCTGTCTCTAGGTAAAGCCCAGGGGGCATCAGTGTTTCTAAATACTGGGTGGGGTATGACAGAAGCCAGTCTGTTGATGGGTTTTGCAGCCTCTTCTCAGACTCTGACCTTGACTACTCTATGTTTGGTATATTAGGCCACCCCCTTCTCTGAGGTTTTGTGTCACCGTTTAAGCTGTTTGTTTAATTACACATTTGTTTTCATTGTTGATTTTTCTAATTTATAGGGAACACTGGCATGCCCTAGAGATCACTTTCTTTTCCTTGACAGAAAAAGAAAGAAGAAAGAAAAGAGTTAATTTTTGTTCAATATCTATTGAATGCTAGATACTTTGTTTCACTTAGTTATTCAATCAATTAACAGATTTTTTTTTCTTTTATTGAGCGCTAGCTTTGTATTGGGTCTGAATCAGGACTTTTAAGAGGCCAACATTCTTTACATTCATGACATTTTCATTATGAGTAAAAAGAAAAAAATTAATGTGTAACACATAACATGGTTTAAAGGTACTGTAAAGGAAATTAAGATTGGGAGAGAAAAGTCATTGCTTTTATCAATTAAGATTTAGGTCAAATCAGGGAAGGCATTACTGCATAGATGTCAATTGAGCAGAGACTGAAGGGAGTAAAGGAAGTGAAAGTCAGAAGGGTTTTGAGGCAGAGGTCAGCAGCATATATACCCCAAGGTGAGAGCTCAGATTAAGTACCTGAGGCCAGGATGCCTGAAGCAGCCTTATCCAGGGGAGGAGGAGGTCAGAGGGAAACAACAAGCCAGGTGATAGTCCTTGAAAGGTGGAAACTGAGCTGAGAAGCGAGTGACCTGACATATATTTCGAAACAGCCACTGCTGTAGTGTCACTACTTGGAAGACAAGTTGGTGGGCTTTGATAACAGTGTAGATAAAAGTAGGAGAATTTGGTAGCTGTGACATAGCTAGAGGTGATTATACTTGATATCTATAAAAGATTACCTTTGGCTGAATATGTGCTTTTCAAGATAACAAGCGTTTTAAAAGGTATTAAGGGGGGTGGGAATTTAGGAGAATTTAGACTTTAGATGACAAAACAACAGTTTCTTAGTCCTCATATAAAACAGACAAAACAACATATTAAAGCAGAGCAAACAAACAGAAAATCACCGAACACCCCAAGGAAGCACATTTTTGGGACATTATATTCTTTAGCTTTCCACAATAGAGCAAATGACACTAGCAAACAAATGCTCATGACCCTGAAGTATTTGCAGTATCAGCATCAGGAATCATTGAGGCCTCCAGAGATCTCCAGAATAGCCCAAGGTGTTTGCTGGAAGATCTGGCCAGTCTGGTGAAGGACAGCAGCTAAACAGATGGGATATTTCTTTCTTCCAAAGCAGGAGAAAGCAAGAGGCTCCTAATATGGTGAGTGTTGGAGGAAGGAGAGAATGAGGAACTAGATTGACGGACCTTTGAAAGAAAAACGGCCTAAGGAGACTCCCCTTCCAGGAAAGAGATCCACAGTGAGAACGAACTACTGAGGTGAAGCATAGTTGAGTAGACAAGAAGCAAAGGCAAAGGAAAGTCAGCTAAGAGTATGATCTAACTGGAAAAGCTGTCTTAAACCACCTCAAAATCTTCAGAAAACAAATTTTACAGAAACATTATCTCAAAGTATGTGAATCAAGGTTTGAAAAAAAAATGCAGTGAGCAGGCTGGGGAGAGCTCAGTCTGTACGTGCCTGCTGCATAAGGACAAGGATCTGAGTTTGCCTCCTAGACACACATAAAAAGCTAAACACAATGGCAGCTATCTATGAACCCAGCCCTGGTACAAAGCTACCATAGCTGAACCCTAAAATTCCAGGCTCAGTGAGAGACTTGATCTCAAAAAATAAGGTGTAAAGCAATAGAAGACACCCCACTTCAACATCTGGCCTCCACATGAACTCATACTCACACACAGATGCATGAACACATGGACACCACACACGCACGTACACATGCATGCACACACACACTACAAAGAAATGAAGAGAGTTGTAATGAAAGGGAATAAAAAGGAAGCAACATTCCTACAGATGACAAAACACACCAGAGAAACATACCCACTGAGCAGATCAAAACTGCTGTTTCAAAGGGAATACAAAGGTCTGAAAGAACACAAAATGGTAGTGTTTCTGAACTAGAAACATTATAAGTGAGTGGAATTAGAAATGAGAAGAAAAAATCATTTTCAAATGAAAAACTAAAAGACCTCAAGGATGAATAATAAATAGAATTGAAGTTGCCTTAAAGAGTACAAAAAGAGAAGAATATGAAAAAGCAGCGAATTGGAAAGGCAGAACAGATAGGGGGCTGTTACCATTCTCTTTCTGTTGCTGGAATAAAGACAGCATGGCTAAGAGCAACTGGGGAGGAAAGGGTTCATTTCATTTTATAGCTTGTGGTTCATCACTGAGGTAAGTCACAGAAGGAAGTTAAAGCGGGGACTTAGAATCAGGCCATGGAGGAATGCTGCTTTCTGGCTTGCTTCCCATGGCTTGCTCAGCCTGCTTTCTTACAGAACCCAGAGGTCACACTAACTACAATGGACTCGGCCCTACCTCATTAATCAGCAATCAGACTTGCTCATAGGCCAATCTGACAGAAGCATTTTCTCATTTGATGTTCCCCTTTCACAGATGAACCTTGCTTATATCAAGTTGACAAGAAATTCACTGGTCAGTTTGACACAAAACTCATCACTATTAAACCATAACATTTCCTTTCTTGTTTATCCCCAAGGTATCATGTTAATATATAATATAGTGTAACTTTAAAAGTCCCAAAGTCTTTTCAAAAGACAAATACTTTAAAAGTTCAGTTTCTTTAACCAGTATCATTTTAAAAGTCCAAAGTCTCTCAACTTTGGGTTCCTGGTAAATAAAAATAAGTAAGTTAAATACTTCCTTACTCCAAGAGGGGAAAAGGGTACAGTTATAATCAAAACAAAGCAAAATCAACATTCAGCAGAATAACAAATCAAGTAGCCCCAT